GAGATAGTCGGTGATAGTGCCCATTTAAAAAAAGGGTCTCGTAGTGAGTGTGACAACCACAGTGGGATCAGCGTGACCCCGGTCGTAACAAGACTGTTCGCGTCACTCGTACTTCGTCGCCTTATGGTGTATCGTGAAACATTAACTCGAGAGCAGCAAGCGGGATTCCGGCCTGGTAGGGGTTGCGTTGACCAAATCTTCACACTTCGTCAGGTGCCAGAACAACGCCATACATATAAGCGATCCACAATTCTAGCGTTCCTGGATTTCCAAGGCACATTTGACTCGGTCGACCGGTCTGTTCTTGACACGCTTGCCCACCAAAGAATGCTCCGGAAGTTCGTGAACATAATAAGCTCTTTGTATTCCCAGACTTCCGGGCGTGTGAGTGTACGGCGAGCTCTCGAAAAGCTTCCGTACACAAATGGTGTCCGTCAGGGATGCCCTTTCTCCCCATTCCTGTTTAACTTTGATCGATGAACTCATCAGACAAACGCTTGAAGGTCTCCAGACCCCCGTTGTTCAAATAGCCGGTGACGAAAACCTTGTTGTCCCAGAACCATAGCTCGTGTGGGTTGGTGTTGGCGGATCCGTAACTAGGCAGTTACAAAGCGCGTTTTCGGTTGTGCAACGGGTACTTCCATTGAAGAATGTGTCCTGCACCAGAAGCTGCGTTGGTTGGGACATGTGTTACGTATACCGAACCATCGTTTGCCGAAGAGGGCTGTTTTCCTTGCCCAATTCAGTGGCGTAAACAGAGAGGTGGCCAGCTCTTGACTTGGCAGAGGAGTATGAAGGAATTCACGAAACGCTTGGGTGCTGTCGGTGCTGCTCCCCTTCCAGGATGGGTACCGCGTGATCCTCACTGCCTGGTTGGAGACACTACAAGATATGGCTGCCAACCGATGTCAATAGCGTTCTTGTTGTCAGTTTCTATCCAGATTGCCTGAGTGAGTGTCTGGAGGTGTAGGCACCTCGGAGTGATTGTAACAAGCTAGCACCAAGTCCATTCCCCGTCGACCTTTACTCTTTTCTTCACGATAAGGCTTTTGAATAAATCACGGTTGTACGGGAGTGAAGCATCAATATTGAGCACTGATGCTGTCCATAATGATGATGATAATGATGGTGCCTAACTGCCATGCCATCAGAAAGATGCACGAGGGCTTGGATACTACCAGGTTGTCCAAGCATAGACAGGGCGATTCGAGAGGCAGAGGTCGATTTCGAACCATGGACCTTCCGGTCAGTAAATTAGCACTCTAGCCGCTGAGCCACATCGCCCTTGACTGACTGGCCACAAACGAGTATGGTTTGACAGACATCGGCCATAAACTAATCGTACACTCACTCCGTGTCCACGTGGTGGTTTTCCATCGGCTTTTTTGTAGGCCGGTTTGTGCTACCACCCGGAAGTTATTGCGCCATCAGCAGGAGGTCCGCCTTACATGTAATCTCTTGTGCAATAAAATTTATGTACAATGGTCTATCTCGTGACCTGACACGACGTGTCTAAAAACTGACGACTTGTGCGGGCATGTATGCCCTATTTTCCTTCGAATTCCGATTTGTTCAGGACTCCCGCGCCGCGTCTGACAAATTAGTTGCCCTTGACGACATTGCTGAGATGACGCAGAAAAGTTTGAAGTAATCTAGAGAAAGCGACATTATTCCAAAGACAGGTAGAATGCACGTTGTTTCAATACGAAAAGGATCCACTCATTATATACACCATAAGAAACGATTTCAATCAACAGACAATTGGTTATGCATTTTACGCTTGTCAACCAGGCTCTCCCCTCAACAGAGGGTGTATGTAGCTATGATCAGAAGTAGTAATATGACAAATTGTTGAGGAAATGCTGCTGAAGCTTTCCAAATCATAGAAACCCACGTTAAATGGGCGTCAATCTATGAGCCCGCCTTCGTCCGACTGAGCGGTATAGGCACCTCGGATGTTTCTGCTAGGTTATCCCTAGGTCCTCCTCCCAATCCCATTTCTCTTATAAGGTTTTATTGGTTGTACAGTAGCGGAGCACCGATGTTCTCCGGTGTCGCTGTTGGTGGTACTGTCACTGATGGTAATGGGCCCGAATGATTGACCACTGGTTTAGCTTGCCTGAATGAGTTGTTGAGACTGAGACTGATTTCTTTTCCAAGCGGGACTAAACACACCTGACTCACAACCGCGCGGGTTCTGTCTTAGTGACCTCACCCGACCACCACATAGGGCTACAATCCATATCTTTTTGTTCTGGTCGTGATATGGGAACGCCCCTACTTCGCATGGACATCATCTTTAGAGACAGTACCATCAGTTTCGACACCACAATGCCTTAAGGTTAAAACGGAATGGATTAGGAGTGGACCTGTTGCGGGCGTCCCTCAGGCATTCAGAGGCCCGCACCCATCCAAGCGCTCAATCAGGCAATCGCGAAAGACCCTGTTCTGTAAGGCGAATGCATTAACAGCACCCAGCTTCATACTTGTGTTCCAAGTAACGTTGTCCATCTCGCAGTTCCCAGCATTCTGAAGGGGTCACGAGCAGCAACACTTGCCTCGGTAGACGGCGTTTCGGCATGCGCAGCACACGGTCGGATCATCGCAGATGGTGGTGCTGAATGTTTCCTTCGACTGAAGTACCTGCTACACAACTGAATACCCGTCATTTAATTATCTTGTTCCGAATCCGGTGACGCCCTTCAACTCCAGCAACTCTTCTGAGACAGGTGATCGGAAAACTGAAGGTACCTCGATTCACCTGTCCACAGAAGCCGTCTCAACAACGAATCCCCTACCTAAGCTTGGTACACGTGACCTTGAGACCCAGTGATGTGTTTTCGTGACCGCCACAAGTGATGTCAGTTTGCGAACATGACGTTCGCCTTTTATCCAATACACTTTTGTCGAAGCTAATACAATTTTACGTCCAATGTGTCCCTTGAATCGCATGGAGCATGTTCAGAATGTCCCGGAACATGACCTGCCACGATGGAGATGCAAGACATGTCGGAAGATAGTATGTATAATGATGGACAATAGTGCCTTCGTCCTCAAAGCTTAGAATGGTGTTGTCTGCGTACTCCATGTTGACTAGGCTCTTGCCCGCAACGGTTTGAACACCGAAGTTTTGAAAACTTTCGGAGCTCGCCTAATTGTTTTGTCAGTGACGAGATTAAACGAAACTCAGAAGAGTGGACCTCATGGGTCATGGTTTCGAATGCCGCCTTAAGACGATGAAACATCAGTGACGCTGGAAGCCTTGTTACAACAGGAGTCAAACTGACGCTACTGTGGTTACTGCATTCGCTGTAACCACCCATTTAGAAGACGGAACCTAATATCAACTCACTCCAATTGTCAGGCTCCAAACTTTCCGCTAATCAGAGCTCGCCTTGATGCTGGACCGACAAGTGGTCTGATCATTTTGCCAACCGCGTGCGGACTAGGCTTCTTGGCCGTAGTGGCGCTTGATTGCTAGCACTTGAGCGGTATTGGTGCAGAACTCCCAAGAGGTCTAGCTTTGAACTGGGCATAGCTATGGATTTTATTTTGATGGGGCCGTTAGCATATGGTTTACCAGGCTTCGGCCACGATCACTCACGCACTGGTGTGTCCCATTCTCGAGAGGATGAGAGCGGTGTGCTCCTATTAACTTGTAGACATGACTTAACTGAGGATCGCACCTGAGCTACTGTTACTTCCTGACTTTCAGCACAACAACCATTGCCTCAGCATCTAACCGAGCAACCCAATATGCATGGCGCCTCGGTCATCGCAGTTACCGGTAGGGTGATAGTTATCGGGAAACGGTAGAAGGCTACCTGTCCCCAAATTCCTCAAATGAAATGGATTGGTAATCTAGTGACAACTGTCTCGGTTGTAGACCGAAACTGAAGTGTTCCAGAACAGCCGTCCTGTTCTAATGGGGCAAATGATATGTCGTGTGCTCTGCGGAGGGCTCTGCACCACCGGTTTGAGACATTCCATCCGAACTCAATGTCGTTTCGGAAGCGCAATGACCGAGGCTTGGATATGATCCAGCCAGTCGTCACGTTCTATCATACAAAGCAACCTGCTTGATGTAGATGGCTGAGGCAAGTCGGATAAAGAAAGAAAAACAGAAGTGACAAGTCGGTAGTCCAAACCAGGGGCATCATTTGTGGGCCACCATGGGCTTGGGCTCTGTGCGCAGAATACATTTAATGACAATGTCAATAAATAATTGATCTTACTAAAGGTTCACTTGTATAGTAACGATGTAGTACATACAAAACCAGATTTGAGGTAACCACGAACACAAACACAATACCTGGCAAGCTAGGACTTCCAGTGTCGGACCCCACCAGACTTGTATAGCCCAGACAGTACAAATCTACGAGAACTGCCAAATTAGATGTCATGCGAGTGGCTAGGGTAGTATTACTGGACAATTTTTCAAAAGTATGTAATGTTTGTGGATGTTTTGTACGTACGGTCGGGCCTCAAATCAGTAGTGACGCCGGGGTGGCTAGGGAAATTATTTTCGTGAAAAGGGACAGGTCTTCCCGCAAGTTTATTATTTACAAATTTACTTTTTTTTCATTCAGCGGCCTTACACCAGGCCTTCCTAACTCGTATCGTGTTGGCTATGTTAAAAACACGGAAACTTGATGGTTTTTGACGAAAATTCTGGTTAAATTCCATGCGATTTGCGCTCTCCTGCGTTACCTTCACTTAAAATCCCGATGAATGTATCAACCCAACATGTTTGTGGAGTTTGAGTGGCTCCAACAATCTTTGGTCCATTTGCAGATGGCGTAGTAATCCGCTTCACTTATTGGACGAGGACCTCATAGAAACAGTTTTTAGCCCGTTTCTCAGTTCAAGCCTTACGCGCCTGGTTTATTTCAAGATGTGATTGTCAGTTTCGGCGAACACTGTTGAATGCGCAACAATTTTCTTTGTTTTTGTTCGGTATATCCTTTTTCTAACTATTGTTCCTTTTATTTTCACGATAGGACGTCGTGGGATGAACGGCGATATATCCCGCATTCCCATCCAGACACTGGGCGCCGTTGTCAGCTTAACCGATATTCTTCCGGAATTGCCTCTCCCTGCACCATTGCAAAGTGGCCCTAGTTCCAAAACGCTGTTATGGGACCCTCAGTTAACCGATAGCACGAGAAAATATCTAAATTCCCAGAATTCGGGCTTGACTACCGCACTCAGTGATGCGTTGGAAAACACAACAACTGATAATATGTAGGCTATTCTTTTCTGAAAACTTTTCATGTTTGTGTGTGTATTTTAGCGACTTTAAGGACGGTTTGTCCAGCGACAGCATCGATCTCAGTGGGTTACCTGGCCTACTGACAAGCGTTTTGATGCACAATTATGCGGTTCTGCAAAATAAGAGGGGGTTTCTCGGTTTATCTTCATTCAATCTGAAGTCCTCGCCTGATCACGTGGAACCGTTGAAGATAAATACTACCGCATGGACAAACCAAACGTGTGTAGAACCCCGAGACTCACTCAGTGGTAAGTTTGCTCGTGGGCTTCGAATTAGCATTTTCCAGTACCATGCTTTTGTTAGTTCCACTTGTAGACGTTGACGCGTTTGGCTTTCACATACAATCTGCCCCATTTCATTCAAGAAACGACGCGAAAAATATTCGTGTTTACATAGAAAAATTACTTTCGACTCCAGTTCATTTTCTCTCATGCTAAATTCCTTCTATGGTGGCGAACAGTTTGTGTCGGAATAATGCTCCAGTTTATCATGTAATTTCATCGGTATCATTTCTTTTGTTATCCAGGGTACGATGAACGGTCGTTTTCGCCCAACAAGAAGAAGAAGAAGCGGAAGAAAAAGAAACATAAGCATCGAGATTCCGAGGTTAGTGGTGGCAATGGCGACACGAGTGAAACTGGGGGAGAATCCGGGGCTACCACACCAGCAACGTACGATGGGACGACCCCGTCTCGGAAATGTGATGAATTTGGGTTATCACCAACACCAACCTATGGCGTGGTTGCGGACACAAACAAATTGTCTCTCAAGATCTTCAAACGTCCGATTACTGAGACAGCTTCCAACACTCATGAAGCACCTCCGCCGTTTGAGGTTGCAAAAAAGGAGAAAAAGAAAAAACGAAGCAAAGAGAGAGATCGGGAACACAAAATCCGACATGAGCGACGGTCTCATACAAGTACTATCCATCCGGAAACGACACCCACCCTTGATCCAACTAACGGTTCTTTTGCGGTTACTGTTTCTGATATCACTACTGTGTGTCCCACTTCAGTCACTACCTCCTGCCTATCTAACGAGACGGACTCGCGTGTTGAAATGCCTCCCACTGTTAATCAGCTTTCTTGCAACTTTGAGCCTGCTACTCAGACTGCACACACTTCTGCGGATATCTCTCTTATTGGCAACGATAGCCTGTTTGAACAGCTAAGCTCTGGACACTTGTCCTACAAACAGCCACAGTCTCAATCTACATCTAGCCTATCGAGCACTCCGGCCTCAACAGCAGGTGCCAGTCGTTCTCACACATGCAATACAACTTTCCCTGTATCCACATCCATGTCTGATAATTTCTGTCCAACATTACCAAACCATGTCTTCCCTCCACAAACCACACTGTTTGATGGCATCTTGAACGATATGGATCCGTCATTGTCCTTTGCTGATCCCAGTGGTATTGTGTCAGATGATCTTATGAGTGTAACCCGGAATGGTCCGGTCTCCACTTCCATCTCTAATACGTTGAGTGGTGCCGTATGCAACATCATGGATTACGCCTCACACATTCTTCAGAATGAGATGCTTTCAACTTCCTTGTGCGATAGTTTTCCGGCTGTCTCTGACGATCAGTCAGTTTCCAGGTCCTCTACTGGTCCTTTACAATCCCCTCCCCATTCTTTTAACACATCATTTATGATTGCCTCGCAACTGGCAGATTCACTTCCCCGCAGTATTCATCAGGCTGTGAACGAATCTGACTTTAATCTGCCAGGAGGTATCCTCAATTCCACCAATTTCGTTTCTAATCCACCCATTAGCCCATCCGCTGCCTTTGTCAATAGTTTTGATATTGCCGGCCTTACCTCAGAACCAATGGGTACTCATCACGTCCCAATGGGGCTAGCCAGCTACTTAGCTGGTCCTGGTCAATCAACAGTGCAAGTTCCACAGCCGCAAGCTCGGCGATCAAATATCCGGACGGAATCTGGTGATCGGTCAGCCAGCACGACCAACCCACAAGCCCTCTGGAAACGAAAAGCAACAGCACCTCTGAGAAGACGTAAGTGCCGTACATGGTTGTGCCTGTTTCCTTCAACTCTTAGTTGGCGTCAGTTTTGCATGTGCGTTGCTTTGAATTGTTTAGCAAAACACACCTGTCTCCTGAGACAGTCACAGACAAGTCTCATTCTTCCGAACATTTTTTCTGTACACCAGGTTATCGACAGGACATCTCAAGTTTGAATTTTAGTCGAATTACCCCACGTGTTAGTTTTTTATTCCATTGTCCATGGGATTTACTTGGTCAGTAGGTTTGCCTGAGTTTGCCTTCAACTTCCATACAGGTGGAACCTTTTTCTGGATGATACCTCAAGCTATAATCGAGGCGCGAAACAGCTGGCTTGTGATGCTTATCAGTTGTCTCACTTGCTCTATTTTATTTAATTGCTAACTTTTACTAGCGAGTTACTATCGTAAACGAAAGTGATGAGGAGCTCCTTTGCTTCTCAAGGTTTGAATCTACAATGCGTATCTTGCAAGCTTATCAGGAAACCAACCTCCCCCCGGCCTACCATCTTCGTCTCCATGCACTCTCCTCCCTGCACCACACAAATTCCAGTAACCTGTTTTGGGCTGAAATGGTCTGAGAAGTGTAGACGGTATTTTCTTAACAATTCTCATATGGTTGTTGGGAACTCATTGACAGCCCACAATTGGTTTCTTCCTTCTTGGGGCTCACCAGGTAGGCGTAGTCCCTCCAGCTTCCAACAACTTCATGGACTATTTGAACACCACGCAACTGGGGAGCTACACTTATTTGGGAATTAATTTGGTAGCGAGGACTTCAGTTGAAGCTCTCCAACTAAACGTGCTGCACACCATTGTAATTTGCAGCTGAGCGTATCTCGTCGATTGTTTGCAGACGGCTTTCTGGAGTTACCTGTATGGATTGAGAGCTTTTGTTCGGGGCTGTTGGACCATTGTGGACGAAAAAGAGAAGTTTACTGATGAAACCCATCTTACTCTCATCTCTAACTAAGCTTTTGTGCTGTGTATGCACCGTTGAATCAGTATTGTCACACCCCATGCGATATATACTTGGTCCCAGTGCTCGATAATTAAGTCCCTGGAACTCCATGCGCGGCTACCAGGGAACTGATAAATCCGCAGACATGGTGGAGGCTAAGTACGGTTCAGTTCAATTGTCTTTTCAGCTTACAAACCGTCCCCCGAACTCCACTGGTCCCAACCGCTACAGCTCCGTTCACGGAAGATAAAGAGACTAAGCGAATGAGAGACACGTTGGAGGCGATGGTCCAATCAGTTCATTAACTTTGAACGGTTGGTATGGTGAGGAGTGAGCTACGCGGTGAAGGCGATAGCTTTGATGCCAGGCCGCCATTGGCTGCATGACAGCCATGTCTATCAGGATCAACAATTGATTTATCTCGTCCCGCCGTCCCCATCCGGGAAGACGGCAGTTACCAACGTAACTAGGTTGACTGTTAAAGGCTTTCATGCTTCGTTGCTCATAGACTGATCGCTTATTGGTTGTCTTTTGGGTGAAGAGGGCTGTACTTCATAAATGATCATCTGCCATACGAAAGAGTGCGTACATTTAGCAGTCTGCTACCGAAGGCATTTTGGTTCCACTTCCCAGCACTCAGGCGATTTCTCGTGCCTATGTGCGTCTTGATTCGATATTCGTTTTGCTGCGGCAGTGATTACTTACGAGAACCATTGTTTGTTCTTTGGATTACTGTGTTATCAGAGACTTAAAAACCAGTGTTTATACTGATCTTCACCACCGTACGGTCATGAAATATCTGTAATGTTATTAAAAGCTTAAAAGTGGAGAAGGAAAGAATGGATAGAGAGGAGATTGGGTGCTAAGCCAGCACAAGCATTCTGGGATTCCGCATCCCTAAATGTTCAACCAGCTTTCGAAAAATTATGTAACATTTTGAACGTAGCTCCAAACAGGAATCATTCTTTACGGGATTTGGTAGACCACAATTATCTGTTACGTGTCCGCTTCGCCCATCAAGTGGCCATTCATTATGAAGTAAATGTTTTAATTTTTGAGGAACGGCTTGCCCGATCGCATTATTTTTGAGATGTGAGAATATTTCATGGACTTTGTCTCCAAGATTTAACCATCGAATTTAATGTTCATTCGCCTACTAAATGCAAAAATCAACTGGCATTTGTCGACGTTTTTCAGGATACCTCTTATCCAAGCGATTTCAGGTTGAAATTTTCTGCAAAATAATGCTGAACAATGAACGGGTTACAAACGTGATGGAACAAATCGTTCTTAAAATGCCCCAATACAATTGAAACATAAATATTGGGTATTATGGAAGTTTATTTGGATAACTGCAACCAACGCGGGGAAAGTGTGACGATTAAAATATTTGAAAAGGAAGCAGGTATAAGGGAGTTTCAGTGACCAGCAGTCCTGGGGAGTAGTCAGCAAGAATATAGTTCTCGAAATGATTCTTGTCATGGGTGACTAGATGAACATGGAGGAAGCGATTTCGGTACTGCGGTTACCGTAACAGTAGTGGTGAGGTGGCATAAATTAACGTGGATAAAAACAGCGTTTTGGTGTTTTTATAGGTATAAGTATCAAAGTAGTAGAGTATTTTCCTAATGGGTAATTTTAGTTGTCCTCTTGTCGCCTTTCCCGTAAACGCAGGTTTACTTCCAAGAAGCTTTCCATCCCTTTCTACTCTTAAAAATAGGGTCGCATCACCGTTTCTTTTCGGTGACCGCCCTGAGATAGGTATTTGGTACTTTACTTTTTGGTCGGTTATACACTAAATAATCATTCTAATCCCTCATATTGTACATTCGTAATTGTTCGTTTTATAATGTACGTGGAAAACCACTTCATTACCTTCGTACATCTTACAGACTATCACTTCATTCTCACTTCACAGGAAGACGACGGAAAAACGAGGTAGAGGACTTACAGCAATGGACAGTGAATTATCCTACCGGTACTGTTGCATCCGGGAAGTCAGCTGAGAAAGCCATTGAAGAGCGGACGTGGGATGACGCTATCGGAAGCCATAGTCAAGCCTTGGGTGAACGAGTGAAGCGTCGCAAACGGTTGGCCCGTGAAACCGGCAACTTCGATCCAGATTTTGTGTTTCAGCACGACAAGGAGTACCACAAGTGAGTGTTTATCTTAGTTGCTTTTGTTATCATGGAGACTCCATAGTTTGTCGCGGCTTTTTTCAAGAGCTTTCGTGTTCTCGATCGTTCCAACGCATGGCGGACAACAGTGGAGATTTCGTCCTGTAAGTGAAATCAATCTATGCTGAAAAGCCGAGAAGCACTGTACAGCTGTTTCATCCTTGTTGGGAATCAGCAGTGCGCATCTCAGGAAACTCCGGTGGGAAGTTTTGAACCCGCGACCTCCTGGCTAGTAGTTTGAACACTTAACCGTTCGGCCACGAGCGGCTGATCAGCCGCCGGCCATTCAGAATACATCAATCAGTCAATCATCGACAGCATGACATCAGTGTTCAACACCGATGTATTCAGAATACATAAACGATTCCGTATGCGATAATATCATCTCTTCAAGTATTGGGGATGAGAACCTGGTTTTGTTGGCCGGCTTAGCTGTCTGCCATAACTATAACTTATCCGGGTAGCTGCACAATCCGTAACTCTGGTGCGACAGGAGTCGATTTATACATTATCAGGACGCGAGCAACATTTGCGAATTTGCGTCATGCGTCAGAAATGGGATTAAAAGAATCTGAAGATGCACAAGGCAGCTGTAAAAGCAGTCTTACTCTATGGTTTGAAACTTGATCCTTCTCGTCTGAAAACATTAGCGGATCCGAGCGTTTGATCGTCGATGAGTTCGCGGCATATCACGCTTTGGCTGGCTGCAATGAGGTGGTGCGTACGGGCGTAATTGGTGATGAATCAGAATGACCACAACAGTAAAGTCGTGATGCAGAGGTCTGGTTCGAACCACTGTCGGATGCCCAGACTGGATGAGATGATGTGTAATAACGGAACTTCCTAGCTTCCAAGCTAGGGTTCCCGTCAGGACAACCACAACGGTGCACAATATGTATAAACGCCAAAGACCAGGTCAAAAACACATGTGCAATGCGTCATATGTATGTATGTATGCTCTGATAACATTCTGAAAATTCTGACGCTGTGTGGATGCGGCATTAGCAATCGGCGTTCGACGAATGCTGGATCATGACTGGCTGTTGTGTCCCGACTTTCGGTCAATCAGAGCTCGCCTTGATGCTGGACGGGCAAGCGGCCCGATCTTTTTGCCAACCGCGTGCGGGCTAGGTTTCTTGATTGTAGTGGTCCCCTGCAGCGAGCGGTCAATCGGCATCGGTGCGGAACTCCGGCTAACAACGGTTTCAAGTAAATGATAGACCTCTTCAATTATGAAGAGGCGGACCATAAGTTTTACTCGCAATATCTTTTTTTGGAAAATCGACTTCTGAGCTATAGGTGCTCTATGTGTAGACCGAAGTTCCAGATTAGAAAGATTTGCAGTTTGATTCCATCTGTTTTACGCATTTCTAGACCTATTCGATGAACCTGCACATTGTTCCTGTTCATTAATCTGAATTTATTTACCATACACTCTGACGCATTTCCAGTGGTGGTGAAAGTGATGCCGCTCCGGATATTGAACCAGGTACGGTAGATCTGACGAACGATTTGGACAGCGGTCAGTGTATTCCCTCCCGTGGATTACGTGGTGCTGCCCAGCGGTCCTATGCTGGCATGGATGATGATGATGAAGGACCTGGTGGTGATTCAGCTAGTGGTACGGAAGGCTCCCGACGAAGGCGGAAAGTCGATGACGACGAACCTTTTGAGGGTAAGTGGTACACGCTTCCGTGAGTTCTTACGCTACCTTTTGTTCGCACATATGTTTCATTCCAATTTTTTATCTTTCCCTCCCATAGTTCGTTTAAAAGAGCCTGTCGAGATGAGGTTTCCACATCTAATGCGGAAGTCATCCGAGCCGGTTCGGAGACGTCGTGAACGTGTTGGGTTCGGCACAATGCCAGTTGGTGAAACTCCTACCAAGCGTCATCATATTACGCCCATGACTGTCTTCAGTGCCGAAGCTGGAAGCCTGAAACGGTTCCTGCAACGGCTTCAAGCGGTGTTAGATTCTGTCGAAGACTGTGACTTGCTCTCAACAGTGAACACAGTAGGTACCTCTGGTGAGGGCAACGGGTCCGGAAAGTTGACGGTTGCCGAGCGAGCGTCCAGAGCGGGGTTCACCGATGATTCTGAGGCATTTGTAGCCCCCGAGGAGTTAGCGGAACTATGTCGCGACGCAGCCAAACTGAATGCCACACGGGTTGCTAACCAAATTCCTACTGATCAGCTGTTGAAGTTTATGACTTTGTTGCTGTTCAACGTACGTGATGGTGCAAGCGTAATAGCAACTCTGAGACCGGTGAGTTTCTGTTCACAATTTTACGCAAAACTTACTGCTTACATGAAGGCTGTTCACCACCCACGTTATCTTTCTTGAAGTTAAACCCTTTCTAAAATGCTGCTGAACTCGTTTTCGACTCCGTGGTTTACACTCGAGAACAAGGTCTAGCAATGGGATCTCCAATATCCCTGGTTTTGGCGAATATGTTTCTGGAAGAATTCGAACAGAGAGCTTTAGCCGGATTCCCATACTACCCTTAGATATTCTGGCGTTATGTAGGTGACACTTCCGTCATGATGAAACGAGATAGGGTTAGTGAGTTTTACAACTGTATCAATGAACTGAGTCCACACATCAAATTTAGTACAAAGATGGGTACACTGGCCTTTTTAGACTGCATGATACATGAGGTCGGGGAGGAGAAGTGCACAGGGTACGAGGTCAGTGTACGAGAAGCCGACCGACACTGGGGCAGTTTTGAACTACTCGTCTGCCCATCCGAAGTTGGTATTCGCCAGTATTGCCTCATCAATGTTTAGGCGTGTAAAGCCACTGTGCACAGAAGTTGATCGGCCCAAATTGAAGTAAAGTACAAACTTCGGGGTATTGGATATCCAGTTAGCTTGATTGGGCGCCACTTGCGAAGGGTGTTGGTACCGGTAGCAAAACCCAAAAGGGAATGGATCGGGACCGCTGTTATTCCAAATAAACCGGGGATATCGGAGGTATTCGAAGAATTCTAAACATAAGAGTAGCTTTCCAGAAGGGGAACACTCTACCCTCTGAACTGGTGCAATTAAAGGATCGCCTCCCGGCAAACAGAACCAGGGACTTTGTTTACAAAATTAAGTGTAATGACTGCATTAAGTGTGTATAGGACAGAAGACCAGGGAACTTCATACCAGAACCGGAGAGCGCGGTAGAAAAAGAAACAGGCCGCCGAGAAACTCGGATGAATATAGGGTTAGTGAGTTTTACAACTGTATCAATGAACTGAGTCCACACATCAAATTTAGTACAAAGATGGGTACACTGGCCTTTTTAGACTGCATGATACATGAGGTCGGGGAGGAGAAGTGCACAGGGTACGAGGTCAGTGTACGAGAAGCCGACCGACACTGGGGCAGTTTTGAACTACTCGTCTGCCCATCCGAAGTTGGTATTCGCCAGTATTGCCTCATCAATGTTTAGGCGTGTAAGGGCCCTGTGCACAGAAGAAGCTGATCGGACAGCGGCCCAAATTGAGGTAAAGAACAAACTTCGCAAAATTAAGTGTAATGACTGCATTAAGTGTGTATAGGACAGAAGACCAGGGAACTTCATACCAGAACCGGAGAGCGCGGTAGAAAAAGAAACAGGCCGCCGAGAAACTCGGATGAATATCAAGCGTTACTAAAAGACTCGGCAGTTGCGGAACACGCGCTGGACACAAAATAGATTTAGCAAGTGTTGAGTTTTTGAGGCGAGGACTACGGTCCACGTCACAGAAACTGATGGCCGAGGCGGTAGAAATCGCCAAGCATCCCAGTGTTAACAGAATGGAAAGCGTGGAACTGGCAAGCGTGTGGAGGACGGTTTTTGGATCAGTCGAGCTGACACGTGTTGGTGTGCAGTCATCAGAAGTAATAGTCATCTGAATTCCGCTTGACCTCATCCCCCCCCAACTAAATTGTCGCAGCACACAAACCCACAAAGACCAACGAAATCTATCAGCGGCAACCGCGGTCAATCATCAATTGATGCACCCTGAAGTGAAAGATTAGGGAACAAGGGTCGATCGGAGCTAATTGATGCAGAAGTGAAAGATTAGGGAACAAGGGTCGATCGGAGCTAATTTGAAACTCCAACCCATAAATTCAAGATTTTGTCAAACACACTAGCCGACAAGAGCCGTTAATTGACATTCAACACTGATCTAGTGTGATAATCTGAAGAGGAGTTACTGATTGGCTCCCGTCTTCTTTAAAACCTGGCCATCTTGGTGACCTGTTCACTTGACCTGATGAAACTCGTGTGTCAAAAGCGAAACGTTGCCCAAGTAAAAACTACCGATTGCTCACCAAGCCCTTCTGAAACGACTACTCAACTTTCTTCAGCATCACTACTACCATTTCGCTTCACTACCGCACAATCCAGTTGATTCGTTTGAAGGGGAGGAGGCCTAATGCTCTACTATCGTCATTTCCATATTTAACAACAATGTATTACGATACCGGTGTTTCGTGCCAACTGGAGCCTGGTGCAGCATATTCATCTGAAGAGTAACACCATAAACGAGAGGTTCATTTGGGTCCCCCGTGAAAAACAAATTGGTATGCAAATGAGTGTATTTTGCAAATCTCAGCTCATTTATATGTGCTTGTATCGAAGGTGGACAACTTAACCACGAGATATTACAATATCAACATACCATTATCTCAGCAGTTTCCTGAGTTTGTCCATGGTATCTTACCACTTGTGTGCGCTATTACACCAGAACTACCGCTTTTCGACGTTTAATGTAGGCAGCGAGGAATTTGCTGACTTCAATACCTGGAAGGACTTCGATATCCCTGGCAACCTCAAAGCAACATTTTGCTTGGTTTGTTTCCTCAACCCCCTGCAATTAAGCCAGATCCAGTAACTTCTTTGAGAATATGTTACATCAGCATTCTTATTGATTATGATGTCTTGGATGTAAGCTAGCATTGGTCGATAACATGGTTGATCTTAGCGAATCGAGGCTTGCTCTTCCCACACTCTGCTCTGAGCATATGCTATCGGATCGTTCGCATATTAACCCCTTCACTCAATGGACTAGAATCACAGTGTGGACAACGTCTACCCGTGCCCTGTGCTACTGTCAGCGTAGGGACAATGGTTTCGGTGACGGATAATGGATAGAGGTAATTTTTCCCTTGGGGGGGGGGTTTAAGAAAAATTAGCAGAAGTCCACGGAAGTGGACAGTCATCGGTATAACTGGATTATGCCGTTTTACACATGGAAACGTAAAATTCTTTCTTGACCGTTAATCCTTGATACTTTCGAGGTTTGCCGTTGTGTTTATATTCGGATATTCATACTATGCGCGTGATACAATCCTTGTGCACAAACACTTTCCATGGCCACTATCTTTGCCTATAAAAAAGAAACTCGTCCTATCCACCATCACATAACATGATTCATTTGTCGATCCTCACTGCTGAATACGTTGTCATCTCTGTTCCGTTTCTGTATAGGACGAAAAGGCCGATGAGCACGAAAACAAGCTCTGGCGCGAACTGGCCATGGAGCGTGTCATGCGAAGTGTAAACGCCGGTCTGACGGCTCTTCTTCTGATGACTGCCAATGATATGCCCCGCGAAGTTTATGTTGAGGATGTGATAGAACGTACTATACAGACAGTACGCTTCCAGCTGATCAATTGCATCTACCCCGAATTCGACGCTGCCTATAGGGTGGAGAATTCAGCCAAAGGTGAGTCATAAAATCAGGACGAGCTACGATACGTTTTTCTATTTCGATGGAACCCTTTCGAGGGCACGACTTCTTTTTGTCTGATTTTGGTACCATAGGATCCCCTCCGGGTAGAACGCGTCTCCCAACTTATTCAGAGAGCCTATATTGCCTTAAAAGATCCTCACAACTCTACTGATCGACCTACCGGATGAATATGGAAACAACCGCAGAGCCTGCATTGGGCTTTATTCAGCAACGGGCACTGAAAGACCCACCGTTAATTTCACTTAAAATGATCCATATCGCTGGCAATACTCCTCATTGTTGGAGGAAACTCAGTAGAATCACTCGGACCAAGTTAATATCTGCGGACACATTCCGCTTTGGCTAACACTGCCCATATAAGCTATCTGAAGTTGACCACTGATTTGAAGACAAAATACGGAAATCAAGTACCGGTGTTCTTCAACGGCTATTTGCGCAGTGCGATAATGGCAGTAGCCAGGAAACCTGAAGTACCCTAGGTTGAAATTTTACGCAGATCAACGGTTATGGATATGGACTTCACAACATCAAAAGCCGACCCGACTGAGACCTTGTTACTCCTACACTGAGCATCACCACTCGATACCCAGTTCGTTTCTGCGAATTAAACGTACCGAAGAAACAAAACAAGTACGTGATGAAGTAAACTATTCAAATTACAAGGGTGAGTGTTTCAAGTGGGCAATTCCGCACACGGAGTCAGTTCCGGTCATTCCGGTTTATCTTCGAATTATGGATATGGAGCCACCTTCGAAGCATACACATTCACGGAGTCGAATTTTCTAGAATGGAAACAGCACGCACCACTTTCCTTTACACTTACATCACAAGGGAACTCCGAAAGACGATTTTTTCCGATTTCGAGAATGGCTGTGATGGCACACTAGTTTGCTGGACAACTGACTTCGCTTCGGTTGTTCTCGAGATTCATATATATGGTGTCCTGCTCCTAGGTTTTCCAATAGTCTGCTTCCGGTCCAGTTATTTGCATCCGTTTATCCACTTCCAGTTAGTAGCTCTTTCTGAGGATTGTTTTGTCGCCGTGGTCATTGACTAACTTTGTACACTGTAAGTAGCTTATTGCGCTCTCCTTGAACTATTCGTTGTTTGGCAATGTGGTACTACCACGTGTTCTCTGTACTCTTTTCGTAGAAAACCAAAGCAGCATAAAGTCCCGGCGTGCTCGAGAACGGGACGTCCACAAGCCACGGGCTATCATCCAACTTTATCACAAGCTAGTCGAACTTGTACTGAATTTGGCAAAACTGGTCAAAATGCAGCGTCTGACTGACGGATTGATCCTTGCGCTCTCTAGTATTGGTGTGTCTGCATTCTTCGTTGAGAATGTCAGCGAATTGCAACTGGCAGCTTTGGAACTGGTTACGGCAATTTTTTCACAATACGAACCACATCGCAAGCTGATTATCGAGGAGATTCTGGCCAGTTTGGCACGATTACCGTCGAGCAAGCGGAACCTAAGAAACTACAGGTGGGCTTATTGATATGGATAAACGCTTCTACTCTATCTGATTCTAACTTCTGCATACTCATCCATTCAGAAGCATGCATTGGTTACTTGAGTAAAGATTTGCTTCAGTTGCTTTTTCTAAGCACAATCTCATGTTTCATGTGTTGCCATTCCATCTTGAAAAAAGTCGGCTTCTGTGTATTTTTTATAAATAGCTTACATGGTTAGTCTAACCATTAAAACAATTCGTCTTTGTCATGACTGTCTAAACTTTGTATACCCCAACCACACTGAAAATTCAGTTCCACCTACCGGCCTTGCTTTTATCGTTTACTGTCTGTCTTTCTGGTCGCTTCCTTTTGTCCCGTTTCAATACTCTCTCGATTAACTAACTCTCTGCATCCTATCAGGTTAAATACGGAAGATAGCATCCAGATGCTGACGGCTCTAGCACTATTGTTAGTTCAGTCTGTAATCGTCCTACCCACGCCACTTGATGCTAAATTGGCGACTTCCGAAGAGACAACTAATTCAGCCTCCAGAGAGGCAGTTGATCCGTCTACGTCTGGTCTCAGTGAGGAGCAGAAAATGGATGATGAGGTCCTGGTAATCAACTCCTATCGCAACGCATTGCGGACCGCCCATACCTTCCTTTTGGTCTTCCTTCGCAAGTAGGTATTGGTGCCTGTTTTTCTATCTTGTTAGTTCAATCTTTATTGCTGTTATTGCAAATTTGCTTGTTTACTTGTCTTGTATCTATTGCGAAATTTATTCTCAGAGCTCGACCGTTACCTTCTCGAAAGACCGCTTAAAGGAACCGACTACATATGGTTACTTCTGCGAACACCAGAAAACCAACTGAAGTTTATTTTGGTGCTCTGTTTGGTGTATCTTTGTCCTGAAGTTTGTGCTATGCTCAACCTGAAAGGGTTAGAATTTCCAAGCTTCCCAAGCAGTCCCGATCCGCCTATCCACAGAATCCAGTAGGAACAAGGAATTGCTTCCATAGTCAGTGGAGCATAAACTCAAGATATTCAACCATGGTAACCGCGGAGTGACAGGGTAAGGTTAACACGATGATTCCGAAAGAGGTTTGTGAAGAATTTAAACCCACCACCTTTGAGTATAACAAATATCAGGCAAATCTGGACGTTAAAAATTAATGGGATGATGGGTGCGGCTGGTGGCTGTGCTTTTCCCTCAGTCTCATGCATGCGTTTGGTTTGCATGACCCCGGAAATGCCGATCAGACTTTGGACTTACTGCATTTAAGGAAGTATGGAGACAGTACCGCGAGGATTTCGACCAAAAAGTGCCCAAAACTGTTCCGCTGTCCAACCCGGTAGATGGTTTGGTAGTGTGAGGAGATTTGGGATTTTTTCTTCAGATTGCTGATACTTAGTACAGGCTTCAAAGAATCGATTAACAGGATTCTCTCTTCAGACAACTGTACTATTTTTATGTTCGACGAACCACCTAGCCTTGCTCTGGTTCTTAATTATCTGGGCAATGATTTCCTTTACTCAGCTGTGACGTCTCATTTCCATTCTTTCCTTCCTGTGAACCTTAGTCTACCCGTAATCTCTACCACATTTATTCTATTTCAGATCAACTGTCAAGGGTGAAGATGACTACCGAATGATCTTTGAAAATTTCGTCAATGACCTACTCTTAGCAGTTAACAAACCTGAATGGCCAGCTGCGGAGGTTATGCTCAGTCTCCTTGGAAGCCTTCTCGTCCAGCAATTCAATAACAAATCTCTGGATCAGAGCGTCAGAGTTGCCAGTGTTGACTACCTGGGCACGGTCGCATCAACTCTGCGACGAGACGCGGTAACTAGCCAGCTCAAAGAGAACGACATTGATTCGGTTATCCGGGATCTTTTGGAAGAAAACCATTCTGATGATGATGATCAAGATAACGACGGCAAAGATGCGCACAACGACAGGGAAGAAAAAGTCAAGGTTGAGGATAGGAATGGTGATATAAATGGTGAGTCAGAAAGCCACCCGGATCATTTTCAGCAACCTGACATCACACCTGAGGATGAGGCTACTCTCCGCCAGGGGCAAACGAAACGGAAAAACAAAACAGAGAATTCTGTTTCCGCGGAGAATGACGAATCTTATCCCTCTGAGCAAATTGAAAATGCTTCCGAATCACGTGGAAATTCGAAGGATTCGAAAAAGAACAAAAAGAAGAATACCAAACGGAGTCAAGTAATTGATCCAATCGCACAACTTGATCGGGTGCAAGCTCTACGCGATGCGGTTCTTGATTATTTGGCAGCCGAAGATGCTAGCCCCACCGCCGTGGTAGGTCGTTTTCCTTTACCTGCATTGCTAGTCACATCGCGGAAATCGATGTACAGTGCCCTCACTTCAACCTCCTCTCACTGACACGACTGTTTACCAAACCATGATACTTTCAAGAACCGAGTTGTTTTACCGTTCGAAACATTATTCCCTGTGAGTAGTGCCTTCAGTCCGATCGAATTCGCTCGTTTTTATGAGTTGTAGGCTAGGGGTGCCTCATTACTGCTTGAATAAATCGACGTCCTGCTTCCCTCCACGACTAAAATGTTGTACCCGTCATTAGGCTCGCTTTAGTGAATGACAGGGTTCAGAGCATGGTAACAGCAAAGCAGGCCAGGCTAGGTTTCTCACTAAATCTATTCTGGTTGGGTGTGATTAGTCTACTGGCTTAGGCACGAGTAGTTTAGTATCCTGCCTGAACTCTTGCTCCGGTTATCCTAGTTCCATTTTCTCTCATTCGTTTTGCTGCAGTTGTCATAGTACGCTTAGATGACTGTGTGAGTAATGCTTGTGACCGGAGTCACGATTTCCCATAACGTCCTCATCTGGAGTTTATCTTATTATTTACAGAGCTTTTCTAACCATCATCTAACGATCGTCCAACCACTTATTTATTCTTCCAGTATGCCAGAAGATTCTACCTGGCCCAGTGGCTACACGACTGTACGAAGGAGACTGAACGCGCTCAACAAACCGCTGTGGCACGCAAAGGCGAAAACCAAGAAAATGGTTTGTCAGAATCAACAGGCATCAGTACAAAACTATCCACTGAAGATTACGAACTTGTGCTGTCGATTTCCGAACGACGGCGTCAGCATATACTTTACAAAATCAGGGAGCCACCCGATACCTGGCGTCAACGACGGCGGTTCTGGAGCACTTTTCTTCCTCCGCGTCCCGGACGTCATGGGACCAAGCACACCGAAGCTCAACCGAACTCACTTGTATTCCACGGAACACTTGATTACGAGGATGGTTGTCTTGTGTGCAGATACCTTGCTAGTCTTCGACCTTTCTCCCAGAGCTTTGACGTCTACTTGTCACAAATATGCAAGGTAATGTATACCGGAAATGTCAGATTTTTCACTTTCAAACTTATTCGCTTATTATCACTGGATGCACTAATTACTGCTTTTTTATCCATTTAAGCTTGTGAGCGAATCATCCGTTCCGGTCCGAACCAAGGCGTTACGGTGTCTGTCCGCCGTTGTCGAGGCCGACCCTGACGTACTTGCACGTGTGGATATCGAGCGAGCTGTCCACTCTCGACTGTTGGACACATCTACCTCAGTGCGAGAGGCGGCCGTCGATCTCCTAGGACGATTTCTAGGACGTAAACCGGAACTCACGGCGCAGTATTACCCGATGCTTGCTGAACGTATACTTGACAAGGGCGTTAGCGTTAGAAAGCGAGTTATCCGGATATTGCGTGATATTTGCCTGGAACAACCGGATTTTCCACGAGTTGCGGAAATCTGTGTGAAGATGATAAGGCGTGTTAACGACGAAGAAGGAATTAAGGTATCACACACTCTTTGGTTTGCCTTTTTCTTCGCTCAGAGTTGCAGTGCACCTTCAGATTGATTCTGTTCAAACTTCCTACACCCAGGCTTCTGATCGTAAAGTTAGCCACATAATTGTTTGGTTTTTGGTGGCTACGGGCTCAGCCTACCTCCGCGTAGAGCCATAACCGAACTATAGGTGTTTATATATATATATATATATATATATATATATATATATATAT